GGCACGCGTGCCTGGCTGAGGAATTCTGGGAGTTGAAGTCCACAAGTCATAAAAGGGCCAAGTTTGAAGAGCCCTGCTCTTAATGGACCTGGGATAGGCAGATGTTGTTGCTTAATAACATTAAACGTCACAGGAAGGAAGCCATGATAGAATGTTGTGTAGGTGGAGAAGGAGTGTGTGTGTGTGTGTGTGTGTGTGTGTAGGAGTGGAGGAGGAAGCACATACCAGAGAGGTCCCCAAAAAAGAGACTGCACAGTCCTGAAACTGGAGGAGGAAATGTGGAAAAGATTCAGGATAGCCATAGAATCTCCCAGGGTATATTTATTATGTCAGTCATTAACAGCTGTAGTCTGTCAAGATTCTGTCTATTAAGTGTAAGCAAATAAAAGAACTGGACTTGATTGGATCTCATTGTGTCGTCTTTGGGCTTGGGCTGGGCCTAAGCTGTGCCCAGTAAAGCTGACTTTTGCAAATGATGGTTTTTGTCAACGCTAATGGTGTTCAAACGGTGCCCTAGATACTCAAGGTGCCTATTACTATTGCTACTGCCTTTGCTTTTATTATTATTAGGTCGCTCAGAATTCTAATTTTTTGAAAAATGTTTCACAACCACACAATATTTCACTTCCATTCTCCTGGCTTTGTCTTAGGCCATTGATGGTGAACCTTTTAGAGACCAAGTGCCCAAAACCACTCCCACGCCGCTGCCCCGCCCTCGCTCCACCACCCCCACGTCCCGCCTGCCGGCAGGGCCACCCACTGCCTCCACAGCCCACCCCAGATCACCCAGGTGGCCCAGGAGCGCCACGGAGGCCACGCCCTCCATCCGCACCCCGCAGCACCATCTGCGCGCAGTGGGACGCGAGGGCGGAGTCTTGTCCTGGCTGCTATGTCCTTGGCTGCGCTGCTCTGCATGGGCCGCGCCCGGTGGTGACTCCTTTGGGGGGGCTATTGGTGAGGAGGGGGCCGTGGGGGGAGGCGGGGCTGGAGCAACAGCACGCGTGCCCACAGTGAGGGCTCTAAGTGCCGCCTCTGGCCCGCGTGCCATCATTCCACCCCCTGGCCCGCCTGCCGGCAGGGCCACCTGCTACCTCCACAGCCCATCCCAGATCACCCAGGTGGCCCAGCAGCGCCACGGAGGCCACGCCCTCCGTCCGCACCCCGCAACACCATCTGCGCGCAGTGGGACGCGAGGGCGGAGTCTTGTCCCCGCTGCCTGGCTGCTATGTCCTTGGCTGCGCTGCTCTGCACGGGCTGCGCCCAGTGGCGACTCCTCCGGGGGGATGTTGGTGGGGAGGGGGCCGTGGGGGGAGGCGGGGCTGGAGCGATGGCACGCATGCCCACAGTGAGGGCTCTGAGTGCCGCCTCTGGCTCGCGTGCCATAGGTTCGCCACCACTGTCTTAGGCAAACGGGTCAGGAATGTGGAAAAGTGTGACTCCAGGGCCACGTTGGCATGCGCCAGCCCCATTTTGCTTGTCTCTCGTGCCCACTTGGTTATGAATGACTCGGTTTTTCTTTTTTTTCCTACAGGAAATTTGGTGAGCGACCTCCACCGAAGCGGCTCACCAGGTAGGGTTCGGGTCTTGCGTTCGGGTCCTGACGGGGGCTCTTCCCCAGGGGTGTGTATTATAATATCAGTTGCCTCTCTGGACAGGCGAAAGGGATCATCAAAGCGGTCAGAGCTACGAGAGCAAGGCCGTCTGTTCTGTTGGCTTCTGAGCTCGGTTTTGTCGTTCTGTGTACGTTCTGTGTAGGCAACTTCACCTGCACGCTCACGGAGCTGCTATCCTTACTCCTTACTTTGATCCTTTATGGAAAAGGTGGAGACCAACATCTTCCTGCCTGTTACTACAAAGAGAAAGGGATCCCTTCCCCGAGAAATACATAGGTGTGGAGCACCTCAACTGTTCCCAGTCCAGTGACACTGGTGGGAATCAATCTGATTGCTACTGGTGGTCCTTAACTGGCTGACAACTGTAATTGAGCCCAGAATTATGGGTGGGGTGGGGTGAGAAGATGGTCATGAGAATTTGGATCAAGGGGAACCCTAGCAGCTTTGGCAGGCCCCACAAGAGAGACGTAGCTGCAGGCAATTCAGACACATAGCGATGTCTGGGGTGTTTTAAAAAATACATGTGTAAATTGGGTTTCTATGAACTTGATTGCCTTTGTTCTCCCATTCTTAGGGAAGCGATGAGGAACTATTTAAAGGAGCGCGGCGATCAAACAGTCCTAATACTTCACGCAAAAGTGGCTCAGAAATCCTATGGAAACGAAAAGAGGTAACGATGGGCGGTGTTCTTGAATTGTGCGCTGCGCTGTTTTGCAGTCGAAAATAAACATAAATTAACGCAGAGAGCAGCTTTCAACAACCATCTGCTATTTGGATGTTGTGGATTGTTACTTCTAGAATTCCTGGCTTGGAAGCTTGCAAGGCAGGTTTTATAGAAGGAGGGAATGAGATTAAAAAGAACGGTGCAAATTTTCTGGATTTTGTGTTACAGAGATTTAAAATTACACTGGGTCTGGTTTTGGGGTTCTTTTTCACTCCTGAGGTATCGGTTGACAAACCGTAGTTTAAAAAATCCGGGAAAAGTATCAGTTCGGGAGCCTTAAGATTTTGCAACGCAAAGGTTGCTATGAATTATTTTAAAGGGTCTTTGTTACATTGTGTGGAGCTCCATCTAGTGACTATTTAAAGTACCTTAAGTTCTTAACGAGCCTACATTTCTGTCAACCAAATAAATCACAACAAAATAGATTTTAAAAAACAAAGAGAGTGGGTGTATATGCATCAGAATTTCATTTTTTAATGTATGCCAGTGTGTTCACAGAAAAAAGTGATCATAAAGGTCTTGGTCTTGTCTTCCCTTCGTCTTCTCTTCTCTTCTCTTCCCTTCCCTTCCCTTCCCTTCCCTTCCCTTCCCTTCTCTTCTCTTCCCTTCCCGTCTCTTCTCTTCTCTTCTCTTCTCTTCTCTTCTCTTCTCTTCTTTTCTCTTCTCTTCTCTTCTCTTCTCTTCTCTTCTCTTCTCTTCTCTTCTCTTCTCTTCTCTTCTCTTCCCGTCTCTTCTCTTCTTCTCTTCTCTTCCCTTCCCTTCCCTTCCCTTCCCTTCTCTCATCTCTTCCCTTCCCTTCCCTTCCCTTCCCTTTCTTTCCTCTCCTCTCCTCTCCTCTCCTCTCTTGGTTTTGTCTTGTCTCATCTCCCTAAGCAAAACTGGGTTAGAGAAACTGGGGAAATTGCTTCAGTTGTAGTACTTTAGATTAAATTCTTAACTGACATTCTTTCAAATTGCCTCCTCTCATATTTGTAGCTTAAAATTCTATACATCGAAAGTATATAATAATAATCTATTTTTTCCAAAGGCAGTACAAACCTTCTAGGGAAATACATGTTCTAAATGTAACTTTTCGGTACGAGCCAGGAAATCTTAAAATCTTTTGAAGTCCAGTTGTTTTTCGGTAAAGAAAGTTGCGTAATTTGGAGCTTAGCTTAGCTTTGTTGGCACCACATTCGAAATTTGTTAGCTCTCTGACATTGCATTATGAAACCACATCTACCTATAGTACTCTTCTGTTGCTAGAATTAAACGTCATTAAATATTTCATTTTTAAAATAACACATTTCTACCCCTGGAGACCTAGTGGGTAAAGATTCATGTGGAGTTAAAGGCGCTTTGCGTTAATTCCCACCCTACCACAAGAAAAATCTTTTCATTTATTGGAGAAGCCAGTAGAAATAACGAAACAAAACCAAATCCTGCATCTGATTGGATTTGGGGGCAAAACTAGGATTTGAAGATGTAAGTATATTCTGACCTTGGGAATCCAATTCAGTTCCATCTTCCATTTCCCCCCTTCTGGATTTTAAATAGCTCAGCTACAAAAGTGAGGTGGTGGTTAAGGCACCAGGAGGAAGAAATGTTAGGTATGTTCACTACCTTGAGTTATTTAAAAAAAAAAATCTTTAAAACTATTTTTAAAAATCTAAAAAAAGTTCTCCCTCTCTCAGATTATGTATAATTTTTTTTCTGGGTGCCTTTCCCTTCAAAAATGGCATTTTGCGCAAGATAACCAATGACTTGAGTCCTTAAAAAGGGAATACCTGTTCCAGGTGAACCTAACGTTCTGCTCTTTGCCTTCAGATTTTTTTGCCCTCCTCCGTGCGTCTATCTTATGGGTAGCGGATGGAAGAAAAAAAAAGAACAAATGGAACGAGACGGCTGCTCTGAGCAGGAATCTCAGCCATGCGCCTTTATCGGGATTGGGAATAGCGACCAAGAGATGCAGCAGTTGAACTTGGAAGGAAAGGTGCGTTGAACGTAACGTAGCGTTTGCGAACCCATTTACTGAGAGGTCACGGTGAGCGTGAGTAATAAATCGGTTCAAGACGCGGATGCTCTAAATTTGGACCTTCTCTGTTCATTCGTGGTCACTGAGTATCTTTTGGCTTTTATCCTGCCTTTATGCAAAAAATAATAATAAATAGATGTGTCTCATAGTTTTTGGTTTCGTTTTTATCTTGTTTTCGTGACTACATTTGTGGTTTTTTTTTTATAAAGATTTTATTGGTTTTTTTTTCATAAACATATGTTAATTTTTCCAATCAACCAGTTGTCTGGAGTTTGCTATGCTAATACATGTTCAATTCCTAATCCTTCATTCTTTCCTCTAGCCAACAATAAAATAGGTCCCAAATTTGATAATAGTCTGTATCTTCTTTATCTTTCAACCTCATAGTTTATTTATTTATTTATTTTATTTACATGAACTTATATGCCGCCCTTCTCCCTATAGGACTCAGGGCGGCTTACAGCATATTAAAACACACAAACGCCATCCCCCATAAAACCAATTAAAAACCAAATATTTGTCGCTGTATAGTTATTAAGATTCAAATTAAAATTATCCCTATTTAAAATTCTCCCTAGGCCAGACCCGCTTGTTGAAAAAGCCATGTCTTGAGGGCGCGGCGAAAAGATAGGAGGTCCGGAATCGTCCGGATCTCGGGGGGTAGTTCGTTCCAGAGGGTGGGGGCACCCACAGAGAAGGCCCTCCCCCTGGGGGTCGCCAGCCGACACTGCTTGGCCGACGGCACCCTGAGGAGGCCCGCTCTGTGGGAGCGTACCGGTCTGTGAGAGGGAATCTGTGGCAGAAGGCGGTCTCGGAGATATAGTTAATCTGTCCATCTCTGCACATTCCAATATTTTCCTGATTATTTCTTCTTCTGATGGCCATCCTTCATTCTTCCAGTATTGTGCAAAAATTATTCTCGCTGCTGTGGTGATGTGTAAGATTAAATATAATTACTGCTTATTAGTCTTTTCAGGCATAATGCCTAGTAAAAAAAGTTCAGGTTTAAAATCCACTTGTTTACCCAATATTTTTTCTAACCACATATGTATCTTTCTCCAATAGACCTTTGCCTTACCACATGTCCACCAAATGTGATAGTACATGCCTATGTTATGTCTACATTTCCAACATCTATCTGACATATTTTTAAACATTTTTGCTAATCTTGCTGGCGGCAGGTGCCATCTATAAAACATTTTATATACAGATTTTCTTGATATGAAGTTGACATTGTTAATTTGTAGTTTCTCTCCCATAACATTTGCCATTTTTTCTAATTCTATATTAGCCAAAAATTTTTGCCCATCTTGTCATCGTTTCTTTCACTTGTCTCGTGACTACATTTGTACCAGTATCTCAATCTTTAAGCAAAGCGGTTGCTAAGTGAAAAAATCACCCAACCGCTTCAGCTTTCCTTTGCTTTGCAGCATCAGGAGGATAGCAATAGCACTTAGACTTATATACCGCTTCACGGTGCGTTTACAATCCTCTGTAAGCAGTTTACAGAGTCAGCATCTTGCCCCTGGGTCCTTATTTTACTGACCTTGGAAAGATGGAAGGCTGAGTCAACCTTTGAGCCGGTGACAATTGAACTGCCGGCAGTCGGCAGAATTAGCCTGCAATGCTGCATTCTAGCCACTGCACCCCCATGGCTCAGGATGTCGCCCCGAAACAGTTGGGTGAGCCCAAATGGTGGGGAAAGTTTCAAAGCTCAACTTGTAAGGAAGTGTTGTGATTCCGTGCCAGCCACTGGACCTGGCAGTTGAGTCCGGGAAATCAGAGGAGTAGGAGGAGGGGCCTGGAGAGCCATCAGAGTCGGAGGGAGGCTCTGATGAGCTCCAGGACTTATAATCGGATGAAGAGCCTGGCCCCCTCCACTCGTGCTCAAGCTGAGACCCAGCTGTGTGGGGAAGCTGAGCCAGACTCTTGAGGACTCACAGCTGGAAGACATCATAGACCAGACATGTCAAATACAAGGCCTGGGGGCCGGATGCGGCCCGCGAAGTGGTTTCATGTGGCCCATGAAGCCATTCTAGAAACAGTGAGGGAACGGCCCCCATTGCCTTGGCCTTGGCCCAGGCCAGCTGGGAGCCAATGTACAGTTTTGTGGTGGCCATCTTGGCACTTGCCCCGGTGGACCATGCCTTGGTACTTGCCCCAGTCCCACCCCCTTCTGCCAGAGACCCTCAGATCTGTCCCACTCCTGCCCAGGCTTCCATAGGCACCCTTGACGCGAATGATGTCGAACTGGCCACGCCCACCCAGTAGGCCACATCCATTCCATCCATGCCCACCCAGTAGGCTGCACCCACTCTGGTCACACCCACATGGGCCCCCCAAGGGCAACCGCAATGCTGATGCGGCTCTCAGTGAAATTGAGTTTTGACACCCCTGTCATAGACGCTCGCAAATGCAGACAGGCAACAAGAGTAGGACAGAGGGAGGCAATGGGGCAGCTCCAAGGGTGGAGGAGAAGACATTGAGAAGCCACGCCTGGGGGCTGCATAATAAAAAGGGAAGGTGTATTTGCAAAGGACTCAAGTTTCATGGAATCAGATTCTGTTTGCCTTGCCTGTGAACAATTCTCTGTTTGAATCGTGTTTTGTTTGCCTTGGACAATTCTCCGTTTACATCGTGTTTTGTTTGCCTTTGCTTTTGGGACATTTTGCATGTCTGTACCTAATTTACAGGTTTTTCCTGCATTTCCAGCCTACTTGTTAAAAGAGGGGTTTGTCCTTGTGAGTTAACAAGGACTCACATAGGCTGGGACAGAACAGGAAGCTTTTTTTGCCCTTTGGATGCTCACCCCGTCACTGAGATCATTAGGAAGAAGAGAATTAATGTTTGTATTTACATTACAGAGAAAGGAATTGCAGTAGAGTACACAGGCACACGGTAGGCAACACACATCAAAGGAATGAAGTTGCGCCAGACGTTTTTCCTGGCAGGATCCCTGTGAACTACTTATGGGCAAACAAAAGGGTTACCACAAAACTGATTAGGGTCTTGTCGGTGTCAGGCAAAGTTTATCAGCCGGAGGGTTCTAATCAGCTAATTAAGGTTACAGAGCCGAGCTTGTTAATTTTCAGTTGGCGCTTCTGCGCTGTGGAAAAAACCAACTTGGGAAGTGATGGCTTGTTTTGGCAATTTGGGATAAATAAAGCAGGTTAGGCTCAGGACAGGGTGTATTAACTGATTGTAGGTGAACATGTGCCAGAGAGAGACATTCCAAAGTTGTAAATGTGGGCATTGGGTGCAAAGTTATTCTTTCATCACCTTCAAGCTGCAGATAGTCACTGTCTGAGGCAGTTGGTAAACGATCACCTGTACATATGTTCTGAACTTTCTTTGTTGAACACTATACATAGTTCATGGTTGTTGTTGTTAGTTGCGAAGTCGTGTCCGACCCATTGCGACCCCATGGACAACGTTCCTCCAGGCCTTCCTGTCCTCTACCATCTTCTGGAGTCCATTTAAGCTCAAGCCTACTGCTTCAGTGACTCCCTCCAGCCACCTCATTCTCTGTCGTCCCCTTCTTCTCTTGCCCTCCATCTTTCCCAGCATCAGGCTGTTCTCCAGTGAGTCCTTCCTTCTCATTAGGTGGCCAAAGTACTTGAGTTTCAACTGCAGGATCTGACCTTCTAAAGAGCAGTCAGGGTTGATCTCCTCTAGGACTGACCGGTTTGATCGCCTTGCAGTCCAAGGGACTTGCAGGAGTCTTCTCCAGCACCATAGTTCAAAGGCCTCCATTCTTTGGCGCTCAGCCTTTCTTATGGTCCAACTTTCACAGCCATACATTGCAACTGGGAAAACCATGGCCTTGACTATACACACTTTTGTTGACAGGGTGATGTCTCTGCTTTTTAGCATGCTGTCTAGATTGGCCATAGCTTTCCTCCCCAGGAGCAAGCATCTTTTAATTTCTTGGCTGCAGTCCCCATCTGCGGTGATCTTGGATGTTGATAAATGTGCAAACGTTCTGGATAATAAAAGAAAATAATTACTTTCCTTGCTTTCAGTCACTGAAAGAGAGTTAATTACTTTTACTCCTAAATATCCTGCTTGAAGTCATTTTCTGACATTGTAGGCTTTGTTTCTCTCAGCAGAAGGAAATTTCCTCGCCTGCTTATCAGAGAAAATGAAATGATAAAATAGTTCGGTGGCGAGAGACCGATCCCTCTTTCGCAGGGATTATTAAGTATGACATGATAGAGTGAATTCTTGATCTAATATGACTTCAGGATTTCATCACCGACAATAATGAATTGGTCTAGTAACTCCGTAGGGATGCTATTTTGTTTTTTTAATTTAATTCCCACCTTTATTATATTTATAAATAACTTAGGGTGATGAACATCCCTAATAATACTCCTTCTTCCTCCTATTCTCCTGATAGCAACTAGCCTGTGAGGTGAGTTGGGCTCAGAGTGAATGATTAGCCCAAAGTCACCTAGCTGGTTTCCATGCCTAAAACAGGACTAGACCGCACAATTTGCTGTTATCATGTCACAGTCAGGCAAGCACTATTGCTTTATCTTACTCTATTATGAACAAATAGTTATTCTGCGCTGAGAATATTGGCGTTTCTTTTACTCAGAGTGAATTGTACAAACATGCCTAAAGAATGTAATAAATTATATAAAAACCATTGTATTGAAATAACGCAGTGTATCAAGATTTATCGCAACACAACAAAAAGGAAGGGGAAAGGAAAGAGGGGGAAGGGAGGGGTAAACGCATGCGTGTGCTCGTGCGTGAACACCGTTGCTTACACAAGAGCTGTGAGCGCTCACATGTGTGGGTCTGCAAACGCCTGTGATGTTTGTGGCAATGCTCACGCAAGCGTGGCCACGAACGCCTGCCAGGATGCTTGCGTGAGTTGGGTAGCGAGTACCCGCGTCGCTCGTAGCAATGCTTGCATGAGTGGGGCCACGAACACCCATGACGACGCATGTGTGAGTGGGAGCGCAAACGCTCATGGCGACGCTCGTGTGAGTTGGGCTGCGAACGCTTGCAATGCTTGCAGCAACACATGAATGGGCCTATGAATGCCCCCAGCAACGCTCGCGTGAGTGAGGTTGTACGTGCGCACACACGTGCGAACCGGCCAGCGACTCGTGTGGCCCGGTGGCGAATAGGCCGCAGTCCACAGGTTGGGGACCTCTGTGCTAAGTCATATTTGGAGGATACAATCCTCTCTTATTTTGAAGAAATCAACTAACACTCTGGGTTTATATCATCGTGAATGCATGCTTAATGCGTGTGGGACTGCGAACGCCTGCCACAAGGCTCGTGTGAGAGAAGCCACGGACGTCTGCGGTGATGCTCGTGCGAGTCGGGCCGCAAACACCATGATGTTCGCGGCAATATTCACGCAAGTGGGGCCGCGAATGCCCATGACAAAACTCGTGTGAATGGGGCCGCGAATACCCATGACAACGCTTGTGCAAGTTGGGTCGCAAACACCCACGATGCTCCTGGCAATGTTTGTGTGAGTGGGGCCACGAATGCCCACGACAACGCTCGTGTGAGTGGGGCCGCGAACACCCACAACAACGCTTATGCGAGTTGGGCTGCAAATGCCAGCGATGCGGCAGCACACGAATGAGGCCAACTTCCGCGAAACTCAAGGCAGCGCTCACGTGAGGTTGAGCACGTGCGCACTGGCCAGCCACTCACGCGGCCCAGTGGCCAATAGGCCGCGGCCCAGTATTGGGCTGCGGCCCACAGGTGGGGGACCTCTGGTTTAAGTGACAGAAAAAGCAATATATTTCCATTTAGTTTTTCCCTTTTACAGGAAAAGAGTAAGGCAGAAGTACGTGAACCGTCTACGTATAGCAAAATCATATTTTTCTTTACAGATACTTGATGCTGATCTAGCTCATTCGTTTTCTGCTTGCGGAGTTGGGAACACCCATGTACTTGCAGTTCTCACCACGCTGTTAACTTTTTTCTGAAATGCAATAAACTGGAGCCCTACCCCGAATTTTTGAATTTGTTGTAACTTTACAATACTGTACTACTAAAAATTCCTGATTAGTACAGCTAGGCCTAGTTACCTTTAACAGTGCTTCATTGGAAAAAATACTACATTACTGTCTCCTTTTATCCACAGAACTATTGCACAGCTAAAACTTTGTACATATCAGACTCTGACAAGCGAAAGCACTTCATGTTATCCGTAAAAATGTTCTATGGCAATAGCGACGATATCGGTGTGTTCCTTAGTAAACGGATCAAAGTCATCTCCAAGCCTTCGAAAAAGAAACAATCGCTAAAAAATGCAGACTGTAAGTATTGGCCAAGCGAGGCTTCATTGACTGTGGTCGATGTTTCACATATGTTGCTGTGAGCTTGTGAGTTTTCATTCATCTCTTAAGAATGTGGCCTTTGGTCCCATTATAAAACAACTCCCAGCTATTACAACAAAGGAAGTATTTGATTTCAGCTTCTAACAATTTCAGCAGTGTGTATGTTTGTGTGTGGGGGGGGGGCGTAACAACTGTATGCGTTACGTTTTTGAGATGATCTGATTGAAGAGGTAACAATATTTCTTTTTAAAGCAGATTTGTCTTAGCAACTTTTTAAGACCCGTGGACTTCCCCAGCCTAGTACAGGGAATTCTGGGTGTCGAAGTCCACAAGGGGCTTCTGGGAGTTGAAGTCTAGGTTTTAAAGTCGTGGAGGTCGGACACCCCTGTTTTAAAACACACCTCAAGGGCTGTCCCAGGTAAAACAGACTCTTAAAAGACAAACCGCTAAAAGGATAACATTCTAGACTAGTTTGTTTTATTATTATTTATTTATTTATTGACTGTGACTAGGAAAGGAGATTGCCTTTTTAAAAAAAAAAAAAAAACAAGCCAAAGAAAAGATGCACATTTTCTGCTGGGTGTGTTAAAACAGG